TCTCTCTCTCTCTCTCCTTTTGACATCGCATTAATACCTATGATGGATGCAATCGTAATGATAACTTTGCACAAAAGTTCGAATGTTTCGAGATTCCTGTTTACGAATCACTCGAAAGAATTTGTACTCTAATAATACAAGAATGTACGTTCGCGTTGCTCGCCTAAATCTATCGAACATCATTGAGGATAATTAATCAATTTGATATGCGGCACATAATGGCTTCTCTCCAATAATTCGAATCATTATCTCTCCGCTTTCCCTCTTCATCGTAACACTGAAATTACACAACGGTTTTTTGATCGTTACTTTTCCCGGAGAATAATTATGCGCGCGCGACAACGCTATTATTACAACGACGTTACACGACATTATCAAATATTACAACGTGCGACGAGAGTTGTTTAAGGACGAGCTATCGACTATGGCATATCCACGTTCCTAGGTAATTAATGGAATGAATACAATGCGCACTGGACAGCAGCAATAGTAGCAACAACAGCATCAGTTGCTGAATCATACGCATCTGTACATTTCTTTTTCATTTCGCGCCACGATTATTGAATGTATTTATAATGAGCATGACTAATTGTTGGACAAGCAGAATCAACTCTTGTTTCAGTTAAAACGAAAATGCTCAAATATCACTTCAAGCTTTTTTATTAAGTGCGAACATTATTACTTGTTCTTCTTTTTGAAATATAAATAATTTAAAAGACCGACACACAGAATACAAATAGATAAAAACCAAGAAAAATTTACTAGATAACGATATTTAAAGCCGACTCCGCAAACAAATTTTTAGATTTGCTCACACAAATTCGGCAAGTTAAATGGAGTTAAAAAAGTCTATAAATATTTAATGTAAAAATATAAATGTTTATGACGCGCGTCGGCTTTCTATCCGGCGTTGTCATCCGCGGATAAAAAAAAAGTATAAAGGAAACGTATATTTTAAATCTGTTATTGCAATTACCGTGCGCATGTTCGGCCGATTTACAGACACGTGATCGATGGTTAAAATTATTGAAAAGGCGCTTTGTCAGACTTGTTTGAAACAATTCACGGCAATTTGGTCTTTCTTTTACACTTCCCCAGGCAACAAGACAAGATTTTGCGTATATGAAAATACTTAATATATAAAAAGGTCTTCGCCCGCAATATGTTCGGTAAACATATATCTAACAATTATTGCTGTATAGACTAGCGGCTATTTACTCTTCGGCATCTTCAGCGTCTAAAATATTCTTAAAGTAAAATGGCTGGAAGGGATATCCTAAACCCTCGTAGAACTTGGTCATAAACTCGACCCTAAAGCACAAAAGACAAAACGATACAAAAATAATAAAATATGTAATAATAAAAAGCATCGAGGTACTCCGGGATAAAAAAAAAGTATAAAGGAAACGTATATTTTAAATCTGTTATTGCAATTACCGTGCGCATGTTTGGCCGATTTACAGACACGTGATCGATGGTTAAAATTATTGAAGAAGGCGCATTGTCAGACTTGTTTGAAACAATTCACGGCGATTTGGTCTTTCTTTTACACTTCCCCAGGCAACAAGACAAGATTTTGCGTATATGAAAATACTTAATATATAAAAAGGTCTTCGCCCGCAATATGTTCGGTAAACATATATCTAACAATTATTGCTGTATAGACTAGCGGCTATTTACTCTTCGGCATCTTCAGCGTCTAAAATATTCTTAAAGTAAAATGGCTGGAAGGGATATCCTAAACCCTCGTAGAACTTGGTCATAAACTCGACCCTAAAGCACAAAAGACAAAACGATACAAAAATAATAAAATATGTAATAATAAAAAGCATCGAGGTACTCCGTCTCATTGACACTCTATAATCAGTAAACAATATCAATTGATAATAGAAAGACAATTCACATCGTGGATAAAAATATTTAAAAAATTGATGCATGCGAAATTTGTCATGTTTGTCAATTAAAATCGCAAATTAATTAGAAGTAATTTTTATTAACCGAAAGTTGAATTCAATCTGCACTTTCTCTTCTCTTATATTTAAAAGATAATTTTTTAATCTTCTTAAAACTTTACAAATTTCTTTAAACGAATCGTAAAAAGAATTGAGAGAAACGTGCACCCGTGTGACTAATCATCGTACGTACCAATGAAGTCGAAGCGTATGAAGAAACGCCGAGAGGCCCTCCATCATGACGAGAATGACGATGGTAAAGAAGGCCCAGACAGCAAAGGTGAAAAACAGTATAATACTTTTGACATAATTATCCTCTTCGGCCCCTAAGCCTATCCGCAACACCCTACCCCAGAGTACTTCGGATAGCTGGGAATGAGCCAAAGACAGCGCCCACAACCGTAGATAGGAGGCAGTGTGCGAGACGGTAGACAAGACGTACTCTATGGTGTGGATGGATTGATGGATCATTAGCTCACCGAAGCTGTCTTCGTTGTGACCATGACCACCCACCGCATCTTTACTGGTCTCCGCGCTCTGCAATTCCTGCGGCTGCAACTCGATGTCCTGGGACGCACTTCCGTTGCTCTGCAGCATGTAAGCAACGCACGTGCAATGTCAGCGAACGTCAGCATTTCATTCGTATTTACGATTAGATGCGGAACGTTAGTTCCGCCAACACGGCGAGTACGAACAGAACGTATATTTCATTTAAACGATCATCTATCTCAATTTCATTCAATATTATAAGTCACAATCATTTTTATAGCAACGATATTCGCGATGATCATCTCTTTGACAAGCTTGCAAAAATTCTTAATTTAATAATTAAAACTATAGTATGGGATAAAAATTAGAAAGACCGTGTTATCGATAAAAATGCACTATTAATTACGAAATAAATCATTTTCCCAATATTTCAAGTAAAAATGAAAAATAAGGTATTCTCAATTAGCACAAATTATTATTGATATAATAATATTGTGAATAATGATAATTAAACAGACAAAATAATATATTATACTTACGTAAGTTTTCCCTGAAGTTTCAATTTTTTTCGAGCATGTTATAAATAACGGTTTTCCAAACAGCATTATGGGGACGCATGCTAAGGCAGAGAACAGGAGAACTTTCTGCAAAATATCCTGCCCCTCAAACATGTACTCGGAACAACCCGCGGGCACATTGGCATTTTTGAAGAGCATCATGTTAATAAATGTAATCAAAACCGATGGTGCGCAACCTGGTCTTCGTCCTTCATCTGCATTATGATACATCATATTACGTTAGCGATAATGCGATTATTCTAACAATAAGATAAATTATTTAATATTTACCGTCAGACGAAGCGTCGTATAAAATCCATTTAATAAACATCAAGGCAGTCATGTAAAAGAATAGGAAGACAAGGAAGAGCAATTGTGGTAGAAATTCAAGGAACAAGCTGGAATACTTCTTGAAATACCTAAAAAGTTACAATGCGACATAGTAAAATATATAGAGATCGCGGGAAGCTTCGTCCAAACACTTTCTCCGAAAACAATGCAAATATTTTATACGAACATAACTTCCGAAATGCTTTCTATTCCTGTTATATCAAAGATGCTATTCAGATATCACTAATCATGCTAATATATGTATATCTTCACACACATAGGAAAAAGATATTGTTCTCACGATTTCGATCCAAAGGAGCTCAAGAAACGTCGCAGAACACACTTTTAACGTACACTGTTCTATATTAATATGCTGATTACGTAAATAATGCCTTTATATTTTCGATAACAATTTATACGCGTTTACAATACATATAATTTTTATCAAGATTGCAATACTTACGTGATATTAACAACGTTCATGCACACACCAAAAATCATGTGTACGACGCCGAAAATTATCGACAGCTTCATCTTGAACGAATTCTGAAATACAATTTTGTTGTGAGCGAGCGACCAAACCGGATCTATGCCCAGAGGATATGGTTCTTGCAGATAGTGCTCCGCCTTCGCCTCCGGCAACAATTCCAATGTCTTGTTATATAGTGTATCATTGAACGTATACATGGCCCTCCAACTAGATCCGAATATGTTAACTGACTTTGCGAATATATCATTGTAGATGAAACCGCTGTAGATGGAGAACAGACCCATGAGGAGGATGATATAACGGCCGCCGAAAAATAGATTCCAAATTTCACTGTCTGATTTTTGCGCGATGATCTTCTTCTCCCGTAGCACCATAGCAGCGCCAAAAAGCGTCAGTATCAGCCCTAAATCAGCGATAAATCACACCGATAACGATAGCGCGATATGTGAATTTACTATATTTCGCGTATCTATTTTATTCATAATTTTCATTCGCTTTTTTAGATTTATTCACCATGGCCAGCATCGCCGAACATAACACCGAACAGGAAGGGAAACGTAATGATGGTGTAAAGCGCCGGATTAGCTTCGCGATACGATGCCACACCATATGCATCGATCAGATTTTGAAAACCTCTCGTAAATCTGTTTGTCCTGTTGAACGTCGGGGGATTTTCATCCGTGTGGATCACGTTGAGAAACGATGGTATAGAACTCCCGCATTGTTGCTAAAAAACATATCCCACTTTCTTTCGTTTCATGCTTATCTATTATTACTATCTGCAGATAGTCACGCAAGATAAAAATATTGCAAATTCAAAGATTTTTATTGCGCCCCGCTGCTCAAAACATTAACAATTTGCTTATTTTTAAAATATATAAATTAGTGATAAACGTATAATCACACACACACACACATACATATATGCTATAAACTTAATTGAATATCTCTATACACACATATATATATATCTGACCGAGCCTTCTGTAAGACAATTTTGCACGGTCCCGAGATCGGCAATAGGTACCCAACATTCTCCAATAAGACACTTTTTCGATACATCCATGTTGAACAGATTCATCGTATGATAAATGGCTTTCATCTTTCGAACCATAATGCTCCAGTTTGGCAATTCCTTCGCCACATTATGTAAAACACGTTGACGATGATCTTGCGTTTGGTTTAAAACCTTTAAAAAAAATTATGTTCAAATAAATGAGATATTTTCACATTATATATATTTAAAAATATATCCACAAATATTATGATATTATATTTAAATATAAAATGTTGTTATTAAATTAAAGAATCTAAAAAAAAATCTAGATATCTAATAGAATTCAATAAGATTAAATGTCTAACAATATCTTTGAGATAAACACATATTTGCACTAACAATGAGTATTACATCTATTTCTTTCAACGCGCGACAATCTCACCAAGTTAAGATCCGCCAACTGTGTTCGCACAGCTTTCAGCTTTTCCTGACGTTTACCTTGGCTCGTCGGACAATCATAGAGCGAGGCACGGAAGCCAATGCAAACCTTCTTAATACGAGTTTTCAACTGTTCTCCTTGAAAAAACGCCACAAAGGCTGTTTTATAAATTTTGTTGCCCTGAAAATATTTCAAGAAGAGAATCAGACGCATCGACTAATGAATGTTATTCTTATTTTGCAATGTATATTTAATATTTAAAATCAAGCCAAATTAATCTTTGGCGAGATCTATTAGTTTCATTCTGATGTTGTCTCCTTTGGAAGCTCTAAGAGAGATACACACTATTTTATGTTATATAGATAGATGTTATATAGATAAACGCATAAGCACATATAGAGAAAAGAAAAAAAAGTGACTCGATTTATTTTACGCGTGTTTTTAATAAGCGAATTATGATTATATAATTATCATAACTATTATAATATATTACAATAATATTATAATAAT